ACCCGCTACCGCATCTAGCCAGTACCTCAAACCGCTCTTCGTCGGTAATGTCGGCCTTGGGCCAGGCGCTGCTATTGAGCGCTGCTACCCACGCGGCACGTTCGGACTTGTCCATGGCTTCTGACGGCGGGAACCTCGGCATGTACTCGAACCCTATTGTGTCCTGAACCCATCCAGTAGTTGTCGCCACTGAGTCGTCCGGGGTGGGTTGAGGACATGGGGTGCCGCCAAGGGCGTCCCTGCGTGGAGAGAGCTCCACATTACTGGTCGTCGCATCGGAGTGTAGGTTGAGCATCACTTGTAGGTTTGTGTAAAAATTTCCCCCCTCCCTCTTTTGTTGTTGACAATCTCTTCTGAGCTCGTTGTGTCTCCGGACGGCTCATAGGGCGTGAGATGAAATTGGGGTCCGACCGGCCCTGTCGTTAGCTTTTTATGGGTTGAGGACCTTTTTACGAACTCGTAATCTATTCAACCCGCAATTCAGACCGCAGTCCCGAATCCAACTCAGGGAGTTAGGAAGGTGTGCGGGCTTCACATGATTTCTACCGGTTTGCCTCACCAGGGCGCTTCCCAGAGTCGGTACGCGAGCTTAACTCGCGCGAGCAGTGGGCGGATGACGTGGCGACGGCTGTCGGCGAGCAGCGCCATTACATCCACGACGAAACGCTGGTAGCTAGACTGTGGGCTTGGATGCCAGCCACCGTCAGGGCGCGTTTGAATGGGTGTAGGAGAGGCCCCGGAGTGCCAGTGGAAAGGTTTTTGTCGGACGTAGCAAGGTCCCTGTACCCAGACAGCACTCTGCTGAGTTGGTGCTTCAGGTCCTGCGTCTACTCGGCGCCGGAAGAGGTGCCAACCCTCCACGATTTGCTGCCGACACGGCTGCACCGTCTGACGAGGCTGCAGGTCCGTTACGGCACAAGGATCACGATTCCGGGGATGCTGCTGCAACAGTCCATCCTGAGCGCGGCGGCAGACAACAGGTGGGCTAAAGAGTTCCACTTCGAGTGCAGGAGGGGCGACGGAACAGTGATGGAGGTCCTCCATAAGCTCGCGCCGCTCTCGGAGAGAGCGAGACCGGTCGTCGCTGCGATGAAGCGGCTCACGAGAGAACAAGAGTCTGACTCGGATACGTCGGATGACGGGGCGCTTCAACCAGTGTGGTAGCTGTGGCATGAGGAGCCACCGCAAGAAAGACCGCCCCCACGGCAATGACAGGTGCGCTAAGTGCGGCCGGAAAGGGCACTGGGCTAGTGGAGGTCGGAGAAGGCAAAGCGATGCTGAATGTCCGTGGAGCTAGAACCAGGACCGACTACCTGAAGGCGGTGCAAAAGTTCGTAAACAAGGAACTGAGCGCCGACAAGAAAAAGAAGGGCTAGCCGGCGCCAGGAGAGGACGTCGGCATGCCAGTGGCCGCAGTCGAGAAGGTAGTGAAGAGTGACGGTCCGGGGGGCGCGAAACGTCGGAATGAGCCGACAGAGGACACGACGCTAGAGTCATGAGTCCCGGGAACCGTGACTGGAGAGACGGCCGAAATTTTCGGTAAGGGCCCTCGTGAAGGGGATCGAGATTGAGTTCCAGCAGGATACAGGCGCAGAGGTAAGCCTGCTGAGAAGAATAACATGGCAGACTTGTTGTCGCGGTACGCAGCGGAAGATGAAGAGTGCGACGCAGAGATCGAGGCAATGGCCTTGGGCAGTAGAGTGATAGGTCACGTGGGCCAATTGCTGGGGAGACACCAGGTGTCGGAAGAGGACTTTATGAGAGAGTACCGGCAGCTGGAGCCGCAAGGAGTGCCTGGAGTGAAGAAGGATGGCAAGTGGTGGCGGCAGGCCATCACGGGCGAGGTGTACGTCCCGGAGCG